CCACGGCAAAGCAGTTTAGGATGGAGAGCGGGGAGCAGAGCGGAGAACCTTCGTTCTCTGCTCTGCTCCGTGATCAGTGACACAGGACCGTTGTACTCGCAGTGCTCCAGTGTCAGCTGTCACAAACAGAGCTGTACAGAAGATAGAGCACATGTGTGCTCTATCCTCTGTATTGGAGGGCAGGCTCATAAAGAGAGTCTGTCACCTCCGTACACTATCACACTGGGGATTATTAGCTCCTGTGTGACATCAATAAAGTTAAGTGAAAAAAAGTAAAAAGAAAAAAATTTAATTGATAAAAACATGATAAAAAGTAAATAAAAATAAAAATGATTAATAATAATAATTAATCTGCACAGCCCAACCTGAGACCCCCACAGGCCACCTGAGACCCCCCGCAGGCCACCTGAGACCCCCCGCAGGCCACCTGAGACTCTACACAGCCCACCTGAGACCCCCAGCCCACCTGAGATGCCCACAGCCCACCTGAGACCCCCAGCCCACCTGAGATGCCCACAGCCCACCTGAGACCCCCCAGCCCACCCGATAATTCACACAACCATCCTGAGACTCTGCACAGCCCACCTGATACCCAAACCAGCCATCTGGAGACTTCCCACAGCCCACCTGGGACCCCATACAGCCTTCCTGAGGCTCCACACAGCCATCCTGAGACCCTGCACAGCCCTCCTAAAACCCTGAAGGCTTCAGGCCACCACCCTGGAGCAACACAGAGTATCTAGCTCCATATTATTGTACATTGCTATATAGTGTTTTGCTAGGATTTGTAGTCCTCTATAGCAAGTGGTTTTCTGCATTGCTGTATAATGTATTGCTGTGTGGCATGCCTCCATGGTGGATCAGTGGCTTTAGACCTGCTTCTGTACTCCCTTCTTTTGGTACAGCAGGACCCCTCCTGATCCACCATGGAGTGTAGGCTTAAAATCACTCAAGTCTCTCCTCCATGACAGATTAGAAGGGGGCAGCACCAGGAATGTAGAAGCGAGTCCAGAAGTGGCTCCTAAATTACCAAAGCAGCACAGGAGGCAATTTGAAGGAGTCAGGAGGGGATAACCTACGCAAGGGAACAATTGGTCCAGAGCATTAAACTATGGATTGTTTTTTGGGGGGGAAGTGGGGCGCTAATGAAAGCCTTACCCCCCGGGCGCCTCATGACCTTGCTACGCCTCTGCCTTCACAGACTTAAGGGTCTGTATTGATGAGCTTTGAGCTGTGTCAATAGGCCAATGCAGCTTGCTTTTAACTTCAGTTTGAGACATTTCTGAGATAATTCAGAGTTGATTAACGGGTGCATCTGATCTGTAGTTCATCTCCTTGTGATATGGATTTGACCTGCTACCAGCTTCTTTTGCATTCCCATCAAGTTGTACAGGCAGAAAAGCAGTTCTGATGCAAGCAGGACCTTAGAGTGATGCCAAACAGCCATCTTTAAAGCATCAGTTAATTTTGTGTTCCTATACTGATATTGCAGCAAAGAAACTAAAGAAGCTTCACGTAAAAAGCACAATATATACCTTTTTTTCCCTCTTTTTAGTCAGTGGTCACATAACCACCAAGCTGCTATCTTCTGAGCTGCAAGCCAGGGCTATGGGTGGGAAGAAGCTACAGCGGGTCACAAGTACCAGTGATGCTGTTGTTGGCTTTATGACTACAATTCCCATGCTCCTTTGCAGATTTTGCCAATGCTGGAGGCAGAGACAATATTGGATGATTGACTCCCAATGGGAAATTGCAGACACGCTGTGTGTTGGCAAGGCGTGCTGTAGGCCCAATACAGGAGCTTGCACTGCAGGGTGGCAATGCTAACAGCATTAGGAGCCTGCTGTGTCAGGCAACCACAGCATTAAGCCCATTACGCCCCCTGCTGTGTCAGAGCTAGAACTCTCTGATCAGCAGGGAGCACAATATTTTAAGGCTTATTCACAAAAGGGTGAAAAGTTTGGGGAAGGCAGGAGAAGTGAACTATCTAGGACAACATAGCTGAACTGGAAAGTGAGCTGAATTGGAGAATGTTTCCAAATCAGCTATGTTGTCCTAGATTATTCACTTCTCCTGCCTTCTCCAATCTTTTCACCCTTTTGTGAATAACCCTGTTTATGATTGCAGGGCTAGAGGTCTGACTCTCGCTGTGGGTGTGCTGGACCTCTGCAGAGTGCCCACTGCTTCCACATAGGGAGCAAGGGCCCTTCTCTGCAGCCTGCTGGCATGGGACATGTATTTCTCCTCAGGATGTGGCTGATTTCTAAAGAAACCCAGCTGTAAGACTTTGCACACCTTTTGTTTTGAACTTTTGATGCATCCAGATTGTACTGTATCGCATCCCAGCCGGCACACTTTGTTTTGGGGTGGGAGGGGGCAAGTCGGTGCATTGAGGTCAATGGCACCACAGCCACGCCCTCTGGCCACAGTGCGATCGCCCACACAGGAATGTGTGGCACATCAATGCCTGCATTCCAGTCCGGTGCGGTCAGAAAAAATAGTGCCTGCAGCATTTTTTCTGACCACACCGGAGCGGAATGCAAGCATTGATGTGCCACGTGTTCCGCTGCGGGCGATCGCTCTGTGGCCAGAGGGCATGGCTGCAGTGCCATTGATGTAACCCAGCGATGAAAGGTGATCTTAAGCAGCTAGTCTGTAAAGTGACTCTGATATCTTTCTCGAAGGGCTAGTTCACACCAGTTCCAGTGCGTTCCGGCCCGATTCTGGCCGGAACACACTGGATCGCATCCCGGCCGCCTCACTTTGTTTTGGGGCGTGAGTGGTGGTGCATTGAAGTCAATGGCGCCGCAGTGCAATCGCGCGCACCAGAATGTGTGGCATCAATGCCTGCGTTCCGGTCCGGTGCGGTAAGAAAAAAATGTGCATGCACTATTTTTTCTGACTGCACCGGACAGGAATGTAGGCATTGATATGCCCCGCGTTCCGGTGTGGGCGATTGCACTGCGGCCGGAGGGCGTGGCTGCGGTGCCATTGACTTCAATACACGCCCCTTCCACCGTAAAACAAAGTGAACTGGCCGGGATGCAATCCAGTGCGTTCCGGCCAGAATCGGGCCAGGATGCACTGGGGCTCGTGTGAACTAGCCCTTAAACTGGAATTTCAGTTGGGCTTGGTTCAGCACCCAATACCTCATTGTTTAAAGAGTTAAAGGGATCAAACCCAACTATATTAGCTAGTCAGGCTAGTAAAACCCAGGTACTGAAAGATCCTTTAAAATGGATATATAAAACTGGTCCCCTTGAAATTAATGCAGTGTGAAAACTGAAAAACTGATGATCATATTACTTCTTTGTGAAAATATAGCAATAAGAAAATGTGGTTTCATAGATCTAAGGAAAATATGACTTTGGGCATGTGATGACTGGAAAAAAAATGTCATTACCTTGACTGAATGTGCAATAAGTGCACTTGTTGGCCAATGCTTAGTGCAGCAGAAACAGAACAGAAACAGAAAACACTTTCAGTAACCTATGGGACTGAAACCTGTATTGACCAATCATGCTGAGTATTTTTTTTAAATGCTTTGAAACTTGATTAATATAAATGAATAACACTGAACATTGTGGACTGGAATATTCTATGGCAACTATGTGATATGCTGGTATGAATGAATGGTAAAACAATATTAATTCTAATAATAATATATCTTATGTTCTTTTTGTTTAAAGGGAGCCTGTCATTTAAATATATACTTCATTTGAATCAAAAGGGCCATGGCAACATTACCAGATCTCATTAATATAATTATTAATATTTCAAATGAAAAGAATACCCTTTTCTTGCAATGAATGACACAAAAGTATACACTGTTAAATGTCAGGCTGAACAAAAAAAACGTAACAGATTCCTCCATCCATGCTCCTGCTGCAGCTATTGTATTTTGACAGCAAAAGTATGCTGTGCGGTGGATGAAAAGGCTTGATCTTTGGACATTTGGACTCGTGGGGAAGACACTTTGTTTTTTGATTCACAGAGACATAGTTTGGACTTATGTCTTTATTCAACCTCAAATACTATGTAACTATGTAACTATGTTGGATTGAATCTGGGTTTTGAGTATAAGGGGACACTTTGTAAATATTTTCTTGAGCACATTGTTTTACATATCCCTATTGTTTTTTTCTCTGTGCTTTTTGGGAGCACATCAATTTCTTTAAAGGAGAACTATGGGGCAACCTTTTTTTTTCCCATGGGTCTCCTCAGGGACACAGGAGGCCATATACTTATGTCCTCCCATGACCCAATCCTGCCGTTTTGTTACGCCACTGTATGGAAGCGCCACTGTATGGAAGCGGTTGTTACGCCACTGTATGGAAGCGGACATGGCTACCCACTGAGTGAATTTCAGCCAGTTCATCAAAAACTGGATTCCATTTGCTCAGTGTATTGCCAGCTTTAGTCTAGGAAGTCTAGTAAGGTTCTCCCTTCACCTCTTCTCCAGGCTGGGCAGGACATATTGTTCCCTAAGCTGCTTGGGGGCATTTAAAAAAAATAGCCTGGAATTTTACTTTATCTCTTAAATTAATATCTTTCACATGACATTACAAAAGTAAATATTGAGACTATAGTTCTCCTTTTCAGTTGCTTACAGACATTTGCTGATCCAACAGTTTAAGGGCAAAGATCGTATGTCTCTAAGCCTGAAGTCTCTTTGCAATATCTTCTCAGTAAAAGAATAGATTGGCTAGGTGGGTGTTGTCTAACCAACTGGTATTATTTCCCCCCAAAACATACCAGTGTGAGAACTAGCTACTCCATGTTCCATAAGTACAAATGTTATTAGATTGTAAGCCCTCACGGGCAGGGCCCTCTTTACCATCTTGTCTTGAATTGTATTGTGATTGTAATGTCTTCCTTATATTGTAAAGCGCTGCGCAAACTGTTGGCGCTATATCATTCCTGCATAATAATAATAATTTGTATCAATCATACATATAGGTGAAAAACTCACTCTACTGTTATTCTTTTGCAGGTTATCAACACTCTGTCTATGTTAGCCTGGACTCAGATTGCTCAGAGTAAAGGGTTTATGTATGTATCACAGATTTCATGGCATGCTTTCTTCACTGAAACTGCTTTTTAACACTGGAATTATTGTAATTATATTATATCTTTTTTTTCTTCTTGCCAGGCCATTTCCTACTGAAGATCTAGAAAATGATGATGACATTTACAGTGGTCTCTCTGATCAGATTGAGTAAGTCACCCTTATAGCTTAAGAGATTGAAAGATGATCTTGCAAGTCATATAACATATATTGAATAGCAATAAATTATAAGAATTCAATTTTATGAAATATTTCCGGCCAATGATATGAGTGAAACTGGGGGCATATGCAGAGTTAAAAAAATGTCATATTATTCTGTTGAAACATCATAACAATGACTTGCTATTATCTCAAACAGTGACACAGGGGAGGAAGATGAAGATCTCTATGACTGTGTTGATATGGATGAAGAGGAAGGCAATGAAATATATGAGGTTCTCATGAATGATGACCATCCAGCTCCGCAAAAAGATGGGGTAAGAATTGTTGTATACATTTTTACAGGGGGAGTAAGAGATGTTGGCTGGGCGTATAAAGATTGTTAAAGATCATATTCAGGAAAATCTCTCTTGCCTTTATAAGGGGAAGGCAATAGAAATATATGAGGTTTTCAAGAATCATGATTAACCTGATCCTAAAAGTGATGGGGTAAGCAGGGATGTATAATTTTGCAGGGGGTGTAAGATATGTGGTTTGGGGGTATGATGATTGTCAGAGATCATAGTCAGGAGAATCTCTTTTGTCCCCATAAGAGGAAGCCCATGAAATGTATGAGTTTTTCATGACCAATGATCAACCTACTCTAAATGAGATGGGGTGAGCATGGATGCACAGATTTTTACAGGGGTTGTAAGAGATGTTGGCTGGGGGTATAAAGATTATATAAAGGGTATAAAGATTGTTGGAGATCATAGTCAAGAGAATCTCTCTTGTTTCCGTCCTTAATAGAAAATGACTACAGACGATATGAAAAGATGCTGCCTCCAGGAACTGTACCAGACAGAGGAGAAATACACAGACACACTTGGATCCATCTGTCAGGTAACAACATATGCAGCAGTAGATATATTCCACCCAAGTTTCTGAGATGAGAAAGAGGGACACATTCCAGCACAATCAATTTAGGCAATGGTCACACCCTTTCTAGTTATGTGGGCCATTAAGAATATATATACCAAAAATGATTGGTTAAACCCAACATTTTTCACCATTACATTTCCTTCATACTGGCTTTGTGATCTAGCAAATAAGATAATTAAGATTTATAGTGTAGAATAACACTTTTGGTAGTTAAATAGAACCTGTACATCATGCCAAAAAGAGGGACAACTGAGGAAGACAGAGGGACAGAGGGATTTGGGGCCAAATGAGTGACAGTTGGAATGTATGGTTGATGAAGTATACTGCTAATATAAAAACACAATCACACAGCCTCATAACTGGCATGTGGACATTAGCATTTCTAAACAATTCTCCCCACACAACCCCTTCCATACCATTCCCGCACATGTATTCCCACACCATTAACACTTCTGCACAGTCCTTCCCACAATTACACAAACCCTGCCACGTGTTACCACACACCTACTCCCACACCCATTAACTAAGATATTTAGATCTCATTCTTCCCTCTCTCAATGGTGTTCCTGATCCTTGTGGCTTGGTTGCCATTAACTTCTATTTAATATTCCTCTTTTTCTCTCCTAAATTCTGGCCCCCCTTCTCAAGTATTATCTCTTAGCCCATCCT